ATGCCAAGGCATTGGACTTGTTAAATAATGAAGAAACAATTTTAGACATTTACAGAATTTCAGAAACAACTCTCTCTGGAATGAGGAAACTGCTGTAGCTGACGATGACTTGCAAACTGAATTTTAATAAAACCGTCCCTATGTTTGGATAGTTTTCAAACTCAGTCTCCTATTCTGAGAGAGTCCAGGCTTTCAGTTTTAGCCAAAATTTGGTGGGAGGGTAAATAAGAAAATTGTTTTTGATAATTTCCTTTAAAAAATTATCTTACAGACTTTAATTTTTTTCTCCTGATTGTACCGTCCGATCATTCCCAGACAGGAAACAGCATCCCTGTACTCTCGGTTTATCGCGCCTCCCGTCTCTTTCTAGCTGGGCGCAGCCTCAGCCTCTGCTTCAGAAGTGCTTGAAGTTGAGCATACAGAGAAGAAAAAGAAAAAAGAAAAGAAAAGTGATGTGGAAATTAAAAGAGCAGCTACATGCGAATCTCCACCCAGTGCTTACAATGCGTGTGAATGGTTCTGGGAGCGCTGCGCTCCAGTGAAAAGTTCATTCAGAAGTAAACCGGAGGGAAGGTGGGGACCAGCCGAGCGCCTGCCGCGGGGAGAGGAAGAGGCGGGCGCGGGGAAGTGGAGGAAGAAAAACAAAAGGGGGAGGGGTGGAGGGCAGGAAAGCGTCCTCACGGTGATTCGGACTCGGGCTGGACGGAGCGAGTCTAAGCGCCGCGTGTCTCCGCCGCTTCTCTGGACAGGAGGGAAGAGGCTCCTTTTTGTCCCTAGGGAGGTAGCTCGCCAGGGAAGGGGCCTGGTTCGTTTCGCGCAGGCTGTCACGGCTTGGAGGCCGCCTCCCCGCTCTTTCCCGATTTCCCGATTTCCCGCGTGCCCGTGTGGAGAGTTAGCAGCGGATCTGCCTGCAGCTTCGAGACTGAGCGTGACCGTGGAAACGTCTATTTGTAATATTAGCTTTTGCTTGAGATGCAAACGATGAGAATGAACCTTCCCGTTTGTTTGCTCCACCTATTTGTCCTAGAATGTGTGAGAGATTAAAAGCCAGCGTAACTCCTGGCGTTTGCAATGAGTTCCTTTACTGCTCGCGTCCAGCGCTCGGCTCCAGGGGCCTCTGCAGAGGCGGACGGCGACTGCGGAAAGGCGGAGTCGCGGGGTAGGCTGTGTAAACTGCGTGTGCAGCCAGTGTCTCCTCTGTCCTGGGAGAGGTGCACAGGCAAACAGGGGAACCCCTCACCAGTCGGTGGGTTGACCTCAGATTGGGTTTAGCACCTGGCAGGCGGTGGACGTTACCGCGTTTAGAAAGTGAGTAAAAGGGGATGCGGACGGAAGCCCACCCGCTTGCTTGGCTTCTGCAGATGGACAGAGGTCGCTTTTCTGCCTTCTGGGTGCTTACTAACTTATTTTTAAAAATCTTTTGTTTAAATGAAATAGCGCTGAAAATAGGAGATTTTATTTTAACAAGATAGTATTAAGATGGGTTGCAGAGTATCCCCGGGAGGATATCTGCTTAGCACTGTGATCCCAGAATGAAAACTGTGCAAAGAGCTCTAATCTGGAGGTGTAGGTTGTTCACTGGCCTAGAAGCAGGTTATTCCTGGAGAATACGTGCAGCAGGTAGAAAAGGATCCTTTGGGATTGGGAGAATAAAAGTTTATTCATTGTATTTATTTACGGAAAACAAAGAAATGAGCTTTCCCCTATGCTGATCTTGGTCCTGGGAATCCAGAGTGCTAGCACCTCAGGACAGAAAGTTCCTTAGAGAACTCAGAAGTACTTTCCCCCTATCATGTTTCAGGGGAAGCAACTGTGATCTTTTCCTCATTTGTCATTATGGTTGTCATTTATCGTATGCTTGTAAATAGTTTACACTAAGTTTTAGAGTTTTTCGTGAAAAGATTTTCACTCAAAATCTATTTGCAAATAGAGCAAACTAACTGCATTTCAAAAAGCCACACAGTTCTATGGTTTCTGATTATTTTATTTACAACTAGAAATTGACTGGATAGCCAGGAACAATACTTGCTTCCATAGTGCATGGTTCACCTTAGTGGCTCCTGGGACTCCTTAGCAAGAGTAGGTGGCTAATCCAAAACAACAAATAGCCATAAGTGAATGAACAGGAAGTATCTCTCTGTATGAGAGAGAGATGTAGGGGTCAACACAAACATCTTGATAAGGCAGGAAATTTTGGACAGCTGGGGAAGGTCATGGAGTGCTTCTTACAGTGCCTCGGGGAAGAAAATGGGCCTCTGGAGGAGGTACTGGGGATTGAACCCAAGACCTCATGCATGCTAAGTACATGCTCTACCACTGGGCTATATCCCCTCATAACTCCTGTGTATTTGGAAAACTGGTGACTGCCATTATCGGAGTACATGCTCTGTCATAAAGACAATTATCATGTGTTTTCATTTCCACTGTTTATGACTTCCCTATATCTAAGTGCTCCTCTCTTAGGCACAAGCGCTATCACAAAAAGATACCCTAATGGTAAAAAGAAATCGCTGTTCCTGATTTGGGATCAGCAAATCTATTTGCAAATAGAGCAAACTAACTGCATTTCAAAAGAATAACATAACCACATTGAAAATACAGGAAAGAATTGATCTAAGAAAATGGTTTACACATTGTTCTCATTGTAAAAAGAAAAAGAACAGCAAGCAAATCTTAAACTCTATGTATCAGGATTATTTTCTGTAATGCTAAGGCTGCAAAAACTCTGATAATTTGTGTGAATTTTAGCATTGGGAAAATGAGTGTGTGTGTGCCTATGTGTTGTTGGAACAAGGCTCTCACTGTGGGAAAGGAGGAAGGTAAAGAACAGTCCTGTTGGTGATGATGCAGATTAGAGGCACCAGTATGAAATTATACATACTTAATTGCAAAATTTCTCCATTGATCTCTCCGCTACGATATCTCAGAAGCAATGAGCAAAGATGATACTATATCTTGATTTTCAAATACCATTCCCTACTAAAAGTAACGAGAGATACTAATAGAAACTAGCTACTTGTGTCAGCTACAATGATTCCAGGACTGTGCCAGAGAAACTACAAGATGAACCTAAGATATCTTAATGTGCCAGAATGTAGGTGCTCAGAATTGACGGGTATGATTTAAAAGGACACAGAAGCCAGGTTGAAAGGGATCTCAATGGCCAAATCTGACACATTTTGAGCATCAATGTTGACGGTAAATGGTTGTCAATCTTGGTAAACTAAACAAATAAATACGGAAGATGGGAAAACTTTCCTGACAGTGGTATGTCAAGTGACAAAGGTGGAAGTAAGGATAAAATTAGAAAATCCCCATTTGGACACCATCAGAATAATGCTAGGTGTGGGCAAAATGTATAAGTAAATGCTAAGAGTATAAGCAAATTTTTTATGAGGATCAGGATATTTATGTAGTCTCAGAGTATTTCCCTACAGATTACTTATTAATTACCATGAGGAAAATGCTACTTTTATAGGGAAGAGACAGGAGTTACAAACTTACTCAAGTGACCAAGCTCACTTCACTAACTATGAGAAAGACTGACATCACATGCCTCTCGGTGTGATAGAGGGTAACATGATTTCTGTGACATTTCTCCCAATTTCCACAACCAGATTCTAACCATGACTACACAAGTCAAGAAAAATTCCACAAAACCACAGGCATATGCTCCTCAAAAACATAGTAATGTCATGAAAGACAAGACGAAAAATCTGTTCCAAAGTGAAGGAGACTGAAAAGTCAAGACAACTAGATTCATATGTGATTCTGAAATGGAACCTAGTTTGGGAGATAAATTTCTATAAAGATTTTATTTGTACAATTAAATTTTTTATAGACTGTATATTAGATAATACTATTTCATCAATATTAAGTTTACTGAATTTGATAATTGTGCTGTGGTAAGAAATTGACCTTAAGAAATAAACATTGAAGTATTTAGGAAAAAAAAGATTTAATTTCTTTTTAGAGAAATAATTTTTGTCATATATATTTATATATCCACATACACGTATATATTTCACTGCTATTGACTGTTTGGTTGTTGAGGAGAGGAAGAAGCAAGATGGCATTCTGAAATGATGTGGAGATTTGGACAATATGTGCTTCTCAAGTAGTTCTCATTCCACTTGCCATGTGGCTGGGCCATGACAAAGATACAAATTCCCCGATCTATATTGGAATTTAGCAGGTGGGTTTTGTTTTGTTTTGTTTTGAGACAGAGTTTCACTCTCGTTGCCCAGGCTGGTGTGCAATGGTGCGATCTTGGCTCACTGCAACCTCTGCCTCCTGGGTTCAATCGATTCTGCCACCTCAGCCTCCCAAGTAGCTAGGATTACAGGTGTGCACCACCACACCCGGATAATTCTGTATTTTTAGTAGAGATGGGGATTTCACCATGTTGGTCAGGCTGGTCTCCAACCCCTGACCTCTGGTGATCTGCCCACGTCTGCCTCCCAAAGTGTTGGGATTACAGGTGTGAGCCACCACCCCCAGTCAGTTCCTTTCGAATTTTATGAGACCAACATAGGATATGTGGTCTGTGGTTTACTAAAATGTCATTATGTAGCACATGACTGTACTCATACCAGACTTTTGGTCTCCAGAAGTGTGAAAGAATAGATTTCTGTGGTTTATAAGCCACCTAATTTGCGATGGTTTGTTATAGCAGCCATAGGAAACTAATCAACGACACAAGCTTATTCTACTCTGCCAGCTGTCTGAAGTGGTTTTGAGGCTCATGACGTCTAAATAATGTAACATTAAAATGACCATCTTAGGCCGGACGCGGTGGCTCAAGCCTGTAATCCCAGCACTTTGGGAGGCCGAGGCGGGTGGATCACGAGGTCAAGAGATCGAGACCATCCTGGTCAACATGGTGAAACCCCGTCTCTACTAAAAATACAAAAAATTAGCTGGGCATGGTGGCGCGTGCTTGTAATCCCAGCTACTCAGGAGGCTGAGGCAGAAGAATTGCCTGAACCCAGGAGGCGGAGGCTGCGGTGAGCCGAGATTGCGCCATTGCACTCCAGCCTGGGTAACAAGAGCGAAACTCTGTCTCAAAAAAAAATAATAAATAAATAAATAAAATAAATAAAAATAAAATGACCATCTTGGGTCACGTGTTTATTTCTCATGGGACAGGCAATGAAAATAGAGTAAGACACCTGAGTGTGCGTTGTACTAAAGAGTGGTATTAAGAACTCAGAAGCTGACCACTGGAGGTGCTCAGGAGCTGAACCTGAGGCCTCCTGCATATAAGGCACACGTTCTATCACTGAACTACATTCCCTTATGCCAAGAGATATTTGTGCAGTCCTCCAAGTTCTACTGCAGTATAGGAAAACAATAAAAATATGAAAATAGAAAAATAATTTAAAAACTAAAAAGGTGGCCAGGCACAGTAGCTCATGCTTGTAATACCAGCAGTTTGGAAGGTGGAGGCAGGCAGATCACCTAAGGTCAGAAGTTTGAGACCAGCTGAGCCAACATGGTAAAACACTGTCTCTACTGAAAATACAAAAATTAGTTGGGCATGGTGGCGTGCACCTGTAATCCTAGCTGCTCAAGAGGCTGAGGCAGAAGAATCTCTTGAGCCTGGGAGGCAGAGGCTGCAGTGAGCTAAGATCACACTACTGCATTCCAGCCTGGGAGACAGAGTGAGACTCTGCCTCAAAAAACAAAAAAGCCTGGCATGGTGGCTCACACCTGTAATCCCAGCACTTTGGGAGGCCAAGGTGGGTGGATCCCCTGAGGTTGAGAGTTTGAGACCAGCCTAACCAACATGGAGAAACCCCATCTCTACTAAAAATACAAAATTAGCTGGGCATGCTGATGCCTGCCTGTAATCCCAGCTACTCAGGAGGCCTGAGGCAGGAGAATCACTTGAACCCAGGAGGCAGAGGTTGCGGTGAGCTGAGATCATGCCATTGCACCCCAGCCTGGGCAACAAGAGTGAAGCTCCATCTCAAAAATAAACAAAACCCTGAAAAGGTATTTCTCCAATCTATTTGTAAAAAAATGAATAAAATAATTGTATCTCACCATATTCTGTGTGTCCCCATTCCTGTGTTCACTGTTTTAGCTCTAAGTGTTGGGTGTAGAAGGGGGATTTGTGACCATTTTAAGATAGAAGACCACAAGGAGCTGTGGGGAATACTAAAATCTTGGCAAATAAAGCTTGAAATGGAACACAAAATACTGGAAACTTGCATTAGAAAACTGACCAGCTTTTCCCTGAACAAAACACTTTTGCTACTGCTGTTTGCTCCACAGGAATGGTTAAGAACAAAACTTTGATGACAGAATCCCAGGTGAAAATAAAAACCACACGTGATTTATTATTCATTGCCAAGGGTTCTTGATTGTATTACAGCATGAAGGCAACTAAGGAGGTTCATGGAGTGGTCCAGAATAATGTGCAAGACATGAAATAAATAGCACATTCAAGGATGGAGAAAAGTTTTGAAATTTTGGAAGCACGTTAGCTAGACACAGGATTCAGAGACTTATTGGATTTATAGAGCAAGTCAGAAAGTGGGGAATACATAAAAGAGAGCCTGATTATTCAACAAACAGGAGGAAAAAAAGCAGAATAGAGGCTTATTGTTCTTTGAAGGAATGGACAAGATATTATGAGGAGGAGGTGAATTTGTTTGGGAATGTGTTGAACTTGCCATATTCTTCCATAGGATCCTACCCAGTGATGAAACAGTGAACTCAGCCCAGGACTCTCAACTGTATATGTGGAGGTGGGAGTGAGCAGAAAGCAGCAAGAGAGAGTGAGCACAAGGAGAACTCAAATCGTCCTTTGAGATATGGAGATCAGGAACTTATTTACTGAGAGTTGTGAAAAGCAAAAAAATGAACTTCTTTTTAGACTGATCTTCAGTCCTGGAATTCACACTTGTTATCACCATGGCCTTGAAACTTCCAGAGAAGACCCAGAAAGTCTCATTTCCTGGGTAGTTTCTGAGTAGGTGTTATCTCTTCCTCATTCGTCTTTATTCTCATCCTCCGTGTGTGTGCCTTTGCCTATATTGGTAACTATATCACTGAACTCCTTACGAAGTTGCAACACCTTATGGTTTGGCAGAATTTCTCTCTGTTGGCTCATGCGGATAGTGGAATAGGTAAGAGGAAACACACATTACAAGTTTCACTGAAATTGGGTATTAGAGAAGTGTCACCCACAAAACTCTACAAGCTCTGGCGTGTGTGCGTGTGTGTGTGTGTGTGTGTGTGTGTGAAGTGCTGGGAGGATGTGAGGAAAAGTATCTAGGCTGTTCGATTGTGTGAAAGTTTCCAGAGTCATGTGATTAATCTTTAACTTGTACCTGAGGAAACCAAAATACCAGTTACATTACCAGAACTTCCTCACAAGGAGGCACTTTTCTTTTCTTTTTTTCTGTTTGCTGCAAGGTACACAGAACACTGTGACAATTGTTTGTTGTTTCTGTAAGCATTCAGAAATATCTATCTATGAGGAGACATCAGATGAGATCCATATATATGAGCTTCTCCTGATGAAGAAGAATTTATCTCAGGAGATTCTGAGATAAATGGCTGGTTCATACCCAATTACTCTGTTCAGGGAGCTTGCAGACATATGAATGGCATTTCTAGTGCATCTAGAACCAGAGAGAAGATTCTAACTGGTAGAGTACTGTTTTCTTAGAGTTGACAGATCAAAAGGGTGGAGCAATAGTTTTCATGTAAGGAGCTTTTATATAATAATCTAGAATTCGAATTCACACTCTATTTTTTTTTGGTATTTACATCTTGATTTGTTGACAGGGAAAGGGAGGTTTGATTACACTGTTGTAAGTCTCCCACCTTGACTGAATATTAAAAAAGGATTTCTGGGCTGAGTGCGATGGCTCACGCCTGTAATCCCAGCACTCTGGGAGGCTGAGGCAGGTGGATCACAAGGTCTGGAGTTTGAGACCAGCCTGGCCAATATGGTGAAACCCGTCTATACTAAAAATACAAAAATTAGCTGGGCATGGTGGTGGGCACTTGTGGTCCCAGCTACTCAGGAGACTGAGGCAGAAGAATCGCTTGAACCCAGGAGGCGGAGGTTGTTGCAGTGAGCCAAGATCGTGCCACTGCACCCCAGCCTGGCTACAGAGCAAGGCTCCATCTCAAAAAATAATAAATAATAATTAATCAAAAAAAGGATTCCTGAACTAGACAGCAAAGGGTTAAATAATCTTTTTTTCTTCAATTAAGTATGTCTTTGAAAAGCTCTACCTTTTCAGTCAGATTGACCACATGGCCTAACGTATAGTGTTTGCCTCCACCTCACTGTGGAGCCAGAGGTCCTGCCCACCTACACATTCACCTGGGGTCTCACGTGTGGCCACGTCCTCATTCCTCTCAGAGGTCCCTAATTTTTTTTATTCGTTCTTTTCTTTCTCTTTCTCTTTTTCTTTCCTTCTCTCTCTCTCCTCTCTCCCTTCCACCCTCCCTCCTTCCCTCCCTTCCTTCTTTCTTCTTTTTCTTTTTTGTTTTTTTTTGTTTTTTTTTTTTTTTTGAGACGGAGTTTCGCTCTTGTTACCCAGGCTGGAGTGCAATGGCGCGATCTCGGCTCACCGCAACCTCCGCCTCCTGGGTTCAGGCAATTCTCCTGCCTCAGCCTCCTGAGTAGCTGGGATTACAGGCACGTGCCACCATGCCCAGCTAATTTTTTGTAGTTTTAGTAGAGACGGGGTTTCACCATGTTGACCAGGATGGTCTCGATCTCTTGACCTCGTGATCCACCCGCCTCGGCCTCCCAAAGTGCTGGGATTACAGGCTTGAGCCACCGCGCCCGGCCTTTTTTTGTTTTTTTTTGAGACGGAGTCTCACTCTGTCACCCAGGCTGCAGTGCAGTGGTGCGATCTTGGCTCACTGCAACCTCCATCTCCTGGGTTCAAGCCTTTCTCCTGCCTCGGCCTCCCCAGTAGCAGCGACTACAGGTGCCTACCACTATGCCCAGCTAATTTTTGAAAGAGTGTTCTTAATTTCTAATTTCTCCCTGGAGAAAAAAATTTAAAATATGATCTTGTTGAAGTATACAAACCCAAAATAAAATACAGTTGAGTTTCCCAAGTTCATCAATAATGTACCTTAAAATGATTCACTGTTGTCCTGGGCCAAAGTTAGGCACTGTTTGCTCGCAAAGAAGTACTTCAGTCTGTCATATGCCATTTGTTTTCATTCTCCCAAGATTTTTTGAAATCTCCATCCTATATTTCCTATAGCATTCTTATATTAAACTCTTGGTTTTTCATCCTATCCATTTCTACCTTTACTACAGACTAAGAGAAGTCTACTGTGGGGAGCAGAAAAAAAAACTTCCATTTGGGCCTGAGCCCTAGCATAATACAGAAAAGCAGTGGTAATAATTCATGATATTCTTTCTCATGCTTTTACTATATTCCTTTGCAAATTTATTCCCATGATTGAGGCCTGCGAATAATTTTCTCCTGCCACAGTGGGCATAAGCAGCAAACAGACACTATGGAACTGTACTTTGAAAACAAGAAAAGAGAGAGAAAAAAATGTCAACAGAACAGAAAAGTATCTGTTTCCCACATGAACAAAGTCTGGCTCCTCGGTACTAGCTCTGAATCTGTCTTTAAAAAAGTAAACTGAAAACCAAGACATCTTAATCTGAGAAAGAATATCTTTTGGAACTTACTTTCTCCTTTGAAAATTCCCTAATCACTTCACAGGGAGAGAGGTGGCCTGACATTATAACAGAAACCAAGGATTTCCCAATTCTTGCTATATCCTTCAGCTCACACTTTCATTAGGGTTACTAAGGGTTTTGGATCTTTAAAATGTATCACAGGGCTTAGAACACAAAGTGGTGTTAACACAAAAGTTCCTGAAGATTTGGTGGTGGCGGATGAGGAGAGGGCTGTGTCTTCTGGAATAATTACAAGGTCTTATCCTATTTAAACTGTTGCAAAGCAGCGACAAAGATACAAACTTCCCAGTTTACACTAGAAGTTAGCACAGCCTCTATTGCAAAACTTGCAAAATTTTTGTTAAAAAGAAAATGAAGGCCGGGCATGGTGGCTC